GGTTAACCCCTGACCAGAAACGCAATTCAACTTGCCACATAAACACAGTGACTACAAGAACAGGTCAGAGGCTAGGAATACTGCAGCATATAATTCACCACCTGACTCGTCCGAGCCTGTCTATCATCTACAAGGCACAAGTCAGGAGTGTGATGGATACTCCCCACCTGCCTGGATGGGGGCAGCACCAGCAACACTCAAGCTTGACACCATCCAGGACAAAGCAACTCGCTTGATTGCCACTACATCAACAAGCATGCACTTCCTCCACTACCAATACGCTGTGGCAGCAGTGTGTACTATCTACAAGATGCACTGCAGAAATTCACCAAAGATCCTCAGAGAGCACCTTCCAAACCAATGACCACTTCCATCTAGAAGGACAGGGCAGCAGATACATGGGAACACCACCCCCTGCAAGTTCCCCTCCATGCCACTCAGCATCCTGACTTGGAAATATATTGACATTCCTTCACTGTCGCTGGGTCAAAATTCTGGAATTTCCTCCCTAATGGGCTACCTAAAGCAGGTGGACTGTAGCAGTTCAAAATAGAGCTCACCACCACCTTCTCAAGGGCAGCTAGGGATGGACAATAAATGCTGGCCTGGCCAGTGATGGCCACATCCCACTAATGAATTTTTAAAAAAACACAACAGTGTGTTGGAGACGTCAGCCATTTTTGAACCCATTGAATTGGAAAGGAAGCAAGATACTATTGATCCCAAGCGCCTCAGAAGGACGTGGTCTGTCCTCACCCTCCTGCTGGGTTACAGCAGCAAGAATAAAATGTAACAAAATAAGTATGCTGCACTTCTGTGCAGTTGTGCAGTTGCTTGAGTGTTGCTTTTCTGCGTCTATTCAGCAAGATGACAAAACACAACAAATCCATTTAATCCAAAATACTTTGTGTGAAGTTAGACCTGAGGTGCCCCATAAATTTTGTGATTGAACATTTTATTGATTACTTTATGGAAAACCACATTTTTGTTGGTTTTCAGGTTTGTTTTCTTGGAATACCTTGTCCACAAAATGTTAACTAGATGACACCATAAAGCTTTGCAAACACAGTGGTAAATCCATGTGTCAAGTCCTGTTTTTGTGTCCAGATCTTGGTGTTCCTGTGCAGACAGTTGAACACCAATAGGTATAAGAGCAAACGTGGATGTCTTTTCCTGTCTGTCCTTTGCAGTAAACTGCTGACAAGCCATTGATAACATAAATTTGCCTGTTTAGTCAATACACCAGTTAATTCTTCAGCAAATAACTGAAGAAGAATAATATTTGTGCTTTAATGTTTAAACAGTACTGTTTCATTGACCTTCGGTGTTGTAGAAATTGTAGAAACGCAACAGCACTTACTGAGTTAATTTGTTAATGCTGTTGTATTCAATACAATTTAATGTCATGCAGACCAGTTGGTTTTCTGGGAGATGGCTTACTCCACAGCAGAGACTACCTCTACTGCGTTGGAGATATGTGGCCAGGTAGTTGGTCTTGTATGTGACTACAGCTGGTCAGATGACAGGGCTTTTACTGATTTTTTTTTAAAAGGAAAGGGATTCAGAGAATCCCTACAGTGTGGAAACAGGCCCTTTGGCCCAACAAGTCCATACCAACTCTCAGAGCATCCCCATCCCCATCCCTGAACACTATGGGCAATTTAGCTTGGCCAATCCACCTAACCTGCACATCTTTGGACTGTGGAAGGAAACCCATGCAGTCACGGAGAGAATGTGCAAACTCCCGAGACAGTCACCCGAGGGTGGAATCGAACCCGGGTCCCTGGTGCTGTGAGGCAGCAGTGCTAACCACTGTGCCATCATGCCACCTTTTTAAGGCTCCTGCATCTTGTATTCCCAGGTGGTCTCCCATCCAAGTACTAACCAGGCCTGAGTCTGCTTAGCTTCCAAGATGGGGCTTTTTCCCCAGACTAGTATGGCCATAGGCTCCTCAGTGGTGCTTAAAACAAAACATCCATAAAGGCTGTCCAAAGTGAAGATTTACGCACTTGCTGTTGTACATGGGTCCAACAGAATCATCTCCCACATGTCACTTCATTGTAGAGAATCTGCAGAGTCAGTCATCACCAGCTGTATCAGCTGAAATTTTCCCTAAAGTAGTCCGCCATACATCACAGTAGCCATTGAGATCAAACTTTAGACATCATTGTTTCCATCTACATCTGTTATGTCAGCTAATACGCAGTTACATTCATCTGGAGAATCTATGACCTATGAAATTGTAGAATTGCTCGATTATGTAGAACTGCAATGCAGCCTGAAGGCTAGGCTCCTTGACACCAAAACTGAGTCGACTGCATATGTGCAATTGTTTTTCAGTCACAATTTGGGGCTTTGTTTATGCTTGTTGTACCTTCCTCATACAAGCCAACAAAAAATGTGTCACTGACCTCTTCAGGCAATTTGGCCAGTTTTTTTTGTAAAAGCATCTTGTGTCTCTACCATTAGTAAATGTTTAGCAAGCACAGTTAATCCCTTTTAATTGAAGAGGTGGTACACAGTTGGAGGTGATTATCCTTCGGATGAGACATGAAATAAAGATCCCTAGCTGCCCTCAGTTGTGCATAAAATATCCTAAAACATGATTTGAAGAACAGCAGAGGAATTCTCAATACTGTGTCCTGACCTGTATTTGTCCCTCAGCCAACATCATTAAAACAGACCATCTGCTCTATTGCCTCATTCATATTTGTGGGTGCTCTCTGAACTCAGTTGGCTGCAGAGTTTCCTACATTACAAGTGTGATTACACTTCAAAATTACACTGTAACACACTTGCCACATCCTGAAAGATAGATAAATACAAATTTCTATACTCTTCGCTTTTTTCCTTTGCCCTGTTACCTTTGGGATTGGCGCAAAAGGCTAGTTGTAATGTTCTCAATTAGTGTTGTAGCCAATAGTGTGGTATACTGGAGAACATGAGGAAAAGCCTTCAGTACCTCTCGAGCCAATCTGTTGGTGGGGGCGCATAGTTTCATTGTGGTATCAATCATCTTTGTGATGAATCGAGAAGTTTTTTCTTCCACATCTTAGCACATTATGATTATGCTGCAAGAACACTGATTCGCATGCAAAACGTTGCAGGCCATTTAGTTATGTTGGTGGAATTGCTTTATTTAAAGCTCAACTCCCTCCAATATTCCTGTATATTGACGAGCAATTTACTTTCACCTTTTTGTTTCTCTAGGTGCTAATATAGAGAAGTCTGCAAAAGACTTGCAGCGATGTACTGTGTCCTTAGCTAGGTACCGGGCAGTTATTAAAGAGGAAATGGACATTTCTATTAGGAAGATGAAGCTGGCATTTGCTGAACTACAAAACTGGTAGGTCATTCACCAAAAATAAATGTTATTCCATAATCGCTAAGCTGCAAATTAGCAAATTGATTGTATGTATTGTGAAGCTAAATTAGTAGCGAATAATCCACCTTAAATACTGGTTTCCTTTTTAAGATGCTTCATTCCACTTTTGACATAATTAGAAAGTATTTAGAGTTGTGTTTATGTTTCATCTGTCAGCACATTCTCAGCTAAATTCTCATGCATTCTCCTGTAATAATTGTAGAATGTTTGAGGAACAGAGTACACGTCGGGAAATACGTTTAAATGATTGAGCAGGTTTCACAGCATTCGCTAAGGCTTATTGCTCTGTTAGGACATAATTTAGACCTTCATGTTCCCAATAGTTATTTGGCTGAGATTGCTGAAATTGTTCCTGTTCTGAATTATGACTAGCATATCAATTATACTTGCTGATGGCAATACCAAATGTTCTTAAATAATTATCTCAGTGGAGGTTTCAGCATTTTGGATTTGCTTTGCATCAAAAATCTGCTGATGTCGGTTTTGCATGTATTTATGACTCCATTGAATCATTTGGAAAGTATATCTAAGAATTACCTAAATGCAGATTGAGGTGGTCAAGGCAAGATAAGTCACTGCTGAGCAGGATGTAGCAGTTTAAGGAAAGTGTAATCACTATGCAATTGATATATTTCCAGGCAACATGACTGTAAATGGAACTTGATTTTGTTACCAAGCCCTTGCATCCCTACTGTGTATCTTTAGTCATATCCTGTTGCCTGACTGCACCCACAACAAATAATAATCTTTCATGTAAGTGTAAACAAATTTCAACAAGTGCAATTAAGTCAAAATCTATCTGTATAATTATCTTGTGGAACACTTCCAGCAACTACCTTCTACATCCTTGCAATATTTGTAACCCTATACAGTTCTCTAATTCTGCTCCTTACCTTCAAACTATCAGAATTCACTACACCTGCAAAGTGGATCATCTTGCCTCACCCTTCCACAAAGTTTTTTTTCTAATGATACCATACATTTAATTTTGCGCCAGTCAGGAGGGAAGGTGACTTGTTCACAGGAATCTACAGGTTGAACTTTAAATTCACCTGCTTATGCTGTGGAAAATTGCCGGGAGAGTCCACATTTGAAAAATTGAGTGGAATTATGTCACAAATCTCTGTTTCAGTGATGTTTGGTGTGTTTCCATCATTTTGAAACTTTAATGGCTGTTCAAGTGTTTGTGTAAAAGTATCCTGTTGTTATTTCTTGCATTTTCTAATGAATGCCTTTTGAGACTTACTGTATATAATGTCTGTCACTGTACCCTACTGCATAGTCAATTATTCAATGGTGAATAGCCAAATGCAGATCTCCTGGTGAATCTGCTAGCAACATAATATAATCTGGAAAAATGCCAGCGTCAATAGTGCAAGTGATTGGAGCAGGCACTCATAAGCCATTTCTTTACAACACCCTTCAACCCATGAAGATGCAAAATAGGATGAACTGTAGTGAACATCCTTCATGTTTCTTCCAAGAGTGCCAGACTCCGTGAATCTCCCATCAAAACAAACACAGATCTTGTACTCAGTACATATACTGGAAGCTACCTGGCACAAAAGAAGATGGTTGTGGTTGTTTGAAGCTAGTCACTTTACCTCCAGAACATTACCGCAGGAGTTCCTCAGGGTACTGTCCTGGGCCCAACCATCTTCAGCTGCTTCACAATAAGCTTTGAATTGAATTGAAGCATTTATTGTCACACGGTTCAATGTAAAAATACAGTGAAAAGGGTGTACCTTTGCCATACATACATGGCGCCATTCACATTAACTTAGAAAAAGATAAGGGAAAAAAAAAACTTGAGAGTCCAATTTTCCTTCCACTGTCACAGTCCCACTCTGGGCTTTCCAGCCCACACCATCCCTCCACCCACAGTCCTGCTCCGGGCTTTGCACCACACACCATCCCTCCGCCCACAGTCCCACTCCGGGCTTTCCACCCCACACCATCCCTCCGCCCACGGTCCCGCTCCAGGCTTTCCACCCCACACCGGGCTTTGCACCCCACACCATCCCTCTGCCCACAGTCCCGCTCCGGGCTTTGCACCACACACCATCCCTCCCTCCTCCCGCAGTCCCGCTCCGGGCTTTCCACCCCACACCATCCTTCCGCCCGCAGTCCCGCTCCGGGCTTTCCACCCCACACCATCCCTCC